CCTTATGAAAATGTAAGAAATAAACTATTCTGTCTAGATCTAGGTGGGAAAAGTTTTAAAGACTATAGGTAGCTAAGTACCATGCTATAGCAGTTTTTTAAATACATGTGGCAGCATATATGGATTCTGTTGGCAAATATCAATATGATAACTATACTTGAGCACTTTCAGAACAGCCGGGTAATAGCCAATTATGATCATTAGATAGTTTAGTTTATGTAAACTCATATATATCTAATAAATTGTATAAGGTTATCAAAGTAAAAAAAAAAAAATTTTATTGATTATTTAAACTTAGAATATAGACTTAAACAATTTTGAACAATCTTAAATATTGGATATTTTATATAGTATAGACATGTTCTATATACAATACTAGGAAATAGTATAGATTCAAATAGTGCAAATAAATTAAAATATATAGAGCTTCAATCTGGTTAGTGTTTATCTAAATAGTTATTAGATATCCAAATCTAAATTTATTCAGATATCTATTTATTATTTATTTTTATTGATATTTAAATAATTATTTAAATATCTATCAGATTATCCAAATATTAATAGCAAATAAATATCTGAATAAATCAAATATAAATAAATAGATAACAGATTTATTCAAATTGAAACTCTAAAAAAGTAATTTTATACTAGCAAAATAATAATTTAAATATAATATAATATATAGTATAGTAGCATTTATATTACTATATTAAATAAAAAATTTTTTAAAAAAATAAATAAATTATTATATTTTAATTGATAAATTAATAAATACTTAAAGAATTTTAAATGCAATTATAAAACTAAATTAAAGAAGTTTTAAAATTAATTTTAAATATAAAGAAGAGTCTAATATATATTATATTGTATTTATTTATTTGTTGATATTTTGCAACTAAAGAATTAGCTTAACAAAAAAAAATTAATTGTTAATTAATAGAAATCAAAAAAAAATTTCTTAATAAATCAAGAATTAATTATATATATTTGATTAAGTATAATTAATTAAGCATAAAATTTATATATAACTTAAGTATATATAATTAATTATTAGTTTAATTATTGATTAATTTTAACAACTATACAACTCTTCCTGATGATTACTTAGACTAACTTTTCAAAACAAAAATTTTTAACAAAAACAGTAAAACTATGCTAGAAAAGAAGGATATAAGACTAACAAGAACCATAAACTGGCACCTATTATTTAGAGATAGTTTTTATACACTATTTACTAATAGGTTTAGAGCTTATCACTTACTATAAGGATGACACTTGTTATTTAAAAATAGTTCTTATATACTACTTGCTAACAAGTTCAGAGTTTATTACTTACCAAAAAGAATATCAGCAGTGTGCTTGAATCTACTTGTCTTATTATTTTTGGCAAAAAATATACTTTCTTTTAAAAAAAGTACAAGGTCTATTCTCTTTACTATCACCCACTTGTGCTTACAACAAAATTTTTGAAAAAAGTGGGCAAAACAGCTTATCTTTATTAAAAGATCAGTATTGTTTACTCTTTTCAAATTCAGTTGATGTAGTAGATTGCAACCACGTGTTTTGTTTGATAACAAAAATATCGCTACTCTATATAACAAGGTCTGTTAACTAGTTTATAGTTAAAAGTATACCTAAAATTGGTCACATAGTCAAAAAAAAACTAATATGTTAAAACAAAGTCTTATAGCAGAAATATACAGATGTTGTATTTATTATATAATTTTTAAGCCTTGTATAGATTATAATAGTACTATTAGATCTTTTTTTTTTTGTTTTTTCTTTTTCAAAATCTATGTTTTTTTTTTTGTTGTTTTTTTTCTTTTTTTTGTTGTGTTTATTAAAGAACTTTTTTTTTTTTCTTTTCTCTTTTGTCTTGTGCCTCTTGAAAAGAAAGAAGAATTAGAAGGGAAATTAGTTCTAATATTTTAGTTTTTTAAGAGCTAGCACATGATCTAAATCATCCGTAAATCAGTATGATGATCACATCTAAGTGCTAGGTAAGGTTGGGCTTTTAGTTGTAGATATGTTGTTTTTCAACTATAATTGTCTTTCAAGATTAATTTGTAAACTGTATATAAGTCTTGGCAAGATCATCAAAGAATAAAAAAAAAAAAAATTATTAATTAATTATATTATATATATATTGAAATACCAAATCTAATAAGAGAAATAGAAAAACAAGAAGTTAATATAATCTTGTTAGAAGATAAAAAATAAAATATAAGCAAGAAAAAAAAAATAGATTCTGGCAATACTCAAAAAAAGTAGCTTTACAAAAGAATGCTGAAGAAAAAAAATATATATTAGAAATTTAATTATAAAGAAAAATTATAATAAGTTAAAAGAACTTTTTAATTCTAACAATTAGGCTGAAAGATTTATAGCAAGGTTCTAAAAAACTGAATATGAAGAATTTATAAATAAATATAGATCACAAGATATAAGCTAGTACAGAAATAGAAAAAAGAAATAGAGATTATACAAAAAAAGATAATGAAAAAATATTCAAAAAGATAAAAAAAGAAAAAAAAGAAAGCAAGAGAAGAGAAAATACTAGAAGCAAAGTTAGTTAAAAAAGAAAATAAAAAAAAAATAAAAATAAAAGATAGAAAACTATATTAGATATAATAAAAAAAAAAGTATTAAGTTGGTTAAGAGATAGACAATAAGCAGAATGATAAAGAATGAAGCAGTAGTTTTAACAAGCTGTAAGAACTATTTAATAAGAAGAGTAACAAAAATCATATAATTTTTTAGAAGAAGAGAAAAATAAAAAGTTAAAATTATATATAAAAACCTAATTAAATATATAATAAGAAGAAAAAAAGAGGGTATATTTCTAATAAAAAAAAATCAAATAATAAATAACACTACTCTAAAGTAACAATATACTTAAGTACAAGTAAGTTGATATAAAGATAAAATCTTACTATAGCAGATTATATATAAGTGTTTAATAAATAACTATATAAGCTAATACTTGTAATTTTAAATAGCAAAGAGATTAGCTTCTTGTATAAAATTTTAGTATTTAAATATTAATATTATAAAGTTTAATAAAGTAGAGACAAGATTGCCAAAATTAAAAAAAAAATTTCAATAAAAATAATTTTATTTATTATTAATTATATATATTATTAAGAGCTATTAAATATTTTAAATTAGGATATAGACAGGAATTGGCTAATTTCAATTTATTATAAGCTCTACTCTTCTTATTCTTTTAATTAATAAAAAGTTATATAGTATATTATAGATCTCTAGACTTTAAAAAATCAGCTAATTTCTGTTTATTTTTTTAAAGAAGTGACAAAAATCTGTTGATTTTTTAGAGAGAGAGATAGTAAAAAAAATTAAAATTATATATAAAGACCTAATTAAATATATAATAAGAAGGAGAAAAAGAGTATATCTTTGATAAAAAAAAATCAAGTGATAAATTTATAAAAAACTAAAAAAAAAACTAGAAGATTAAAAACTAATTTAAGAAAACCAGAATAGAGAGATAATACAGATTTTTGACAGTATTATAAAAAAAGCTAAAACTAAAGATAGATACTTAAACTAAAAATAAGAGTACAAAAAATTCTTAAGAGTAAGAGTACTAAGAAAAGAAAGAATACAATATACTTTTATAAGAGAAACCAACTATGGTAAAGCTACTAGAGTACAAGCTAAAGAAAAAAGATATATACTATAAAAGTATATATTACAATGCCAAGATATAAAATCAATTTTTTATTTATATAATTTTCCAATAACAGTTAGCCAATTAAAAACCAAAACCAGATATAATATAAAAAAAATTAAAACAAATATTCACTTTACAAAATTTATATTTATTATGAAATATAGACTAGTAAATTGCCTTTTTGATTCTAACAAAAAATTTTTTTATACAATTTTACTATATAATAGCTTTTAAACCCAAATCTTAATCTAAACCCTGATTTAAATCCTAATATAAATAAATTTTTTTATATTATGTCAAAAAATCATATAACTAGAAAATCGATTTTATATCCTATCAATTTTGTATATACTAGAGTTAAAACAACTATAAACTAAAAGTTTGGCAAACTCAACCTTTTAGACCATTAGACTAGAATACTTCAAAAGCTAAAGATAAGAGTTTATAAATTAGGAAAAATAGAGTATATAGATACTGGGGTTTTAAGTGAACTCTACAAGAGCATAGTAGTTAAATAGGTTTAAAACCCAACTGCAAGTGGGAACCTTGACAACTGCAATACTGGGTTAGCCAGAATAGGATATGAAAGGCTCCAGTGGGTTTATCTTAAGAATAGACTAGCCTAGAGTAGTGCTTGGCACAATTAAACAAAAATTTGATAGTCAAATACTTGTTAATACTTACGTTTAAATAGGATATCAAACAATTACAGATCAACCAAAGCTAAATATATATTATTGGTTAACCTGCGATCATTTGATGTCCAACTTAATCACAAGTATTTGACTGTCAAATTTTTGTTTGATTGTGCTGAGCATTAGCCTAGAGTTAGTAAGTCCTAAGGTATCTTAACAACTACTAAGTCAAATCTGATAAAGTTTTTTTTTATTTGAATCCTAAGATTCATAGAACTCGAATAAAAAAAGGTTCATCAAATTTGGCTTGATGGTTACTGAAAAAAATTTGGTGCAGCTTCTATTCGTAGGTATTGAGTTTTTTAAATATTCGAACAAAGTTACCTTCGCTCAAAGTTCAAAAAAACTTTAATTTGTATGGGGGGTATAGCTAGCAAATTTGGGGGTACGAATAGCAATTCCCTGGTTTTATTTTATTATAATATCGATATATATTTATTATAAAATATCACTCTGTGTGACATATTCCCTGACTGATATTATCCGAGGTATATCATTAGCCAATCAAAATGAACTTCTGTTCTGCTAATCGATCAACTAAAGATTTTGATCACCAATAATAGGAACTCTTTTCATCATGAAATGTAAAAATATATAGTAAATAAAAAAAAATGTATTGCGAGAAAGAAGGTAATGAAATTTATTATTATTATTATTATGATTCCTCTAAAGCTCAAGAATTATCAAAAAAGGATATACATCGGTTCAGTTGTGACTTTTCATCAGATAGTGAAAATGTAAAGTATGAAAAATGGAAAGCTGAACAGGAGGCCATGGAACGAGAAAGAATATTAGAACAAAATGAACAAATTTATGATAATTTATTAAGAGCAATTAAATACAGTGATAATCCAGAAGAATATTCTCTTAATAATTTAAATTATCAACGCCTACGGAATGGTCGAACACGAGAAAAATTAGAAATTGCTCAAAGAGAACGATGTCAAGTTGGAGAAAGAAATCAGAAATATATTGGTAATTGGATACACGGGTAATGGCAAGTCTACTTTGTGCAATGTGCTAGTCAATAAAAATAATGAATTTAAAGAAATATTTGAAGAGTCAAATGGTAGCACGAGTAAAACTAGAAATATTCAGGCTGAGGTGTTTAAACATAAAGGAGTCAAGTACCGAATAATTACCGAATAATTGACACAATAGGATTCGGAGATACGAAGTTGAAGCGAAGTGAAACCATACTTGCAATTGCTGAGAGTTATAAAAGGATTGAAAATGGATTAAACCAGATTTTTTTTGTAATTGATAAAAAGTTTGAACCTGAAAAAATAGTATATTTATATAATATATTAAGAAATATTCTTTTTGATGAGAGAATTACCGACTATATCACTTTTGTAAGGGTTCACTTTAAAAATTTTGAAGATGAGAATAAACGTGAAGAAGATATTCAAAACCTAATTGAGGAGAATAACGAAGAAATTGTTGAAATCATTAAATCATGTGGTAAAGAATCATCTATGTAAATAATTCGTCCAAGAAACAAAAGCGTGAAAAATCAAGAGAATTTTTATTAAATCACTCAGAAAATTGTCAAAAAGTATACATGTCAAAGGACCTGGACCAAATAAATAAAAAAATTGATATGGATGAGATTGAAAATTTACGAAAAAAATTAAGAAATATAGAAGAAAAATTAAGGAAAACGGAGAGAGATAATGACTCGAAAGAGGTTCAATCAATAAAAGATGAAATAAATAAGATAGAAAAAACATTACTTAATAGTATTGGCGAAAGGATAGCTGAATTACTGAAAAGAATTTCAGATTGTAAAATTATGTAAAAAGATTATGTAAAATAAATACAAAAAAAAAAAATTTACTAAATCCAATCTTCTATAATCCTTCGCCTGTTTAATAAATAAATATAATAAAAACAGAATTTGAATTTTTATTATATACTGAAATATGTAGAACTACGCGCATACGTATTAATTTTTTGTTAGAAATTACCAAAAAAATCATTGCAGCTTGGTTTTTCAAAATTGCACAAAAATAGTAAATGTTTGATGCATGAGATTAATATGGACTTTGCACGATCATTTTTCCGATATTCAAATGATTCTCTTTTATTTTAATCATATCAACACATAAACCATATGGAATTAAAGTGCTATAAATACAGAAATGCATGATTATTATCTTATTACTGTACTACACCTTCGTTCATCCATCGAAGGTAGATATTCGACCAACATCAGAGGCGAGCGTGTTAACTTTTGCAATTTAGTTCCCTGGTCGCCGCGTCTCCGTTACACAATATACGTGTCCGCGTTCCTGGGGTAGTTACACGTATCTGCATGATATCACATATTTTACATATTTGGGTTATTACACAATTTTATTAAAACTTTAGAACTTGGTTTGGTTTAGTTCTGGGTAGCGCTATAATTACGATCTAATGTTAAAAAATATAACAATAGAAGTTTCACATTTGCAATCACCTAAACATGACTGAAGTTCGAAGGAATATACCTCCGTTTACTACTGTTACGTCAACATTCCGTTCATATATTCTTTCACTGCCATTATTGACAACTACCATTTCCTGTATAGTAATTGTATTTTACGCATTTGGTGCTCTTTTGTTTAATGAAAACCCTATATACAACGCACTTAGTCTTAAGCCAGAAAAATTTTTTGGAGGAGAAGGTATTTTACTCGTGTAGTCTTTATTGGTGTGACGCCAGAAGAAAAATTATAATTTTTTTTGGCATCACTCCTTTCTAATTACACTTATATTAGTTTTGTCTTAATCACATTATAATAATGTTTCAGTGTGGCGTATCTTGACATATCCTTATACACACAGTTATCTCGCACATTTACTTTTTAATCTTTTGGTGTTTTTGCCTTTGAGTACGGCGATTGAACATACTATTGGGACTCTTGAGTATTCTTATGTGTTGATCACTATTTTTACCGTACTTTCGGGTTCTATTTATTTGTTGAGCTCGTTAATTTTCTCTTTTAAAGTCGAAATGGGTGGATTGAATACTTGGATATTTGGTGTTGTAGTATGGGAAAGCAGGGAATTGGCTGGAAGCGAGCGAGAGTAACTATTGTTATTTAATTTCTTATATATTATATAATGATACTATGAATCTTGTTAATTTAAGTTATTTTATACATGTGTGCATATAGAATATTTGGCCTCTTTAGAGTTCCATCTCATTTTTATCCACTTGTGTTATTTCTGCTGATGGAAATACTTCAATATGAATGGTTCGTCGGTTATCTATGCGGGCTGTTTGTTGGTTATTTTTGTAAGCATCTTTTTTTTCTTAATTGTATTATTAACCATGTATATAGTTCTCACTGTTCTTTAATAATTGTGGTTTAAGATTCTTTCGGATATCTTACTCGTATACTGCCATCTTCTGACTTTTTCTCAAATCTTGAATCCAAACCACCTTTATCCCGTCTTGTAAATATTCGTGGGTTTATCAAGGCTGAGGATGGTAGAAGAGGCGGATGGTGGCTACCGCTCTGGAATGATGATTCTATTGAGGATCCTCTAGAGACTTCTATTAATCTTGCTAGTAATGCTGGAGAACCAAATCAGACTGATACAATGTATGTTAAAAAAAAAAAAAGACAAGGATTTATCATACTTTCATATTTCATTTAACCTACTTGTTAATTTGCTTGTTCCTACTATAAATATTAGACAAGTTGCGCGTTCATCTTCGCCTGATCCACATTCAACCCCAGTTTTCATAGTACCATCAAGTAATACCACTCGATCAAATTCACCTGCACCAGAAAGTGCACCTTTAACCACAGACCCAACAACTGCGGATCCAAATCCTAAAGAAAAAGATTGAGATATTATTACCAGTACCATAATATCGTATTTTTAACGATTATTGTTCCTTTTTCTGTTTTAATTTATTCATGATTTATTGAGACTATGAAAATGTGATAATAGTCTAAAAAAAGATCTGGGCATCTTTTTCAAAGACATTTGAAATTCTCAACACGATTTATTCTGTTGAAATGCTCAACACGTTACCAGTTGCTAACTTTGCTACATGTTAGTTTTTAATAAAGCTTACAACTGATATAGAATCATGAATTTTGGATAATGAAATTCTTTATAAATTATTACAGTATTATCTATTAGTCAAATTTTTTTAATTTTTAAATTTTATTTTTTAATTTATAAAATCTTTTTTTTTTAAATTGTATATATATAAGTAAACTTTTAACAGTGACTACATGTAATGAAGGTTGAATAGTAAAATTAATAGTAAAATTTTATGTTAACTTCTGGAGCATTATTGTAAAATTAAAAATTGCCATCCTTAACTACATGTCTCTCTATTCCACTCCAGACACCATCTAACTTATAAAAATTTGCTTAATGTATCTCTAGTATCAGGTTAATTAAATTCTTTTTTATT